TTATAACAAATTTGTTATAACTATACTGAGAGCTAGCATGATATACTGAGTGGTTAAGGATAAGAACTAGGACTGGGGAGATCCAGATTCTAGTCCTGTCTTAGGCATGAAACCAGCTGGGTAACTGACTTCCTCAATCATTTCCTCTCAGCCCTAATCAATGTCAGACTCTGTGACTAGCCGGCTAATAAATAAAATCTTTGGTTGCCTCATGCACTGATAGTTCCGCTGGAAGAAAGAACTAGGCAAGCACAGTGCAAAACCAAGTGGACCTTGCAACCATGCAAGACGAATGCTAAGAATAACAACAACATGAATTGTCAGCATGCTTATACTCAAAAAATAAAAAGTCTCTACAGTATTTCAGTATTCTTAACTCTGCCCAGTATGAAATGACACTAAGGAATCAGATGGGGGAAAGTAAACCAAATACACTTGTCATGTGACCACTGATTACAAGTCCCTGTTTATTTTCAGTATTATCATTTAATCACATCAAACTACTTACCAAATCATGTTATATTTGCAAGCTTCTCATAGAAGCCACACATCAAAAAAGCATGTGAGCTTCTGGCAGACAACAAAAAATAACTCTGGATGTGGAGAAGACTCAGAACCAGAACAAATTTAAGAATAAACTTAAGGTTTAGGTTCAGGAGAGGTCTCTTCCTTTAATGTACACATATGGCATTACTAGGGAGTGTATTTCAGGGCTAGTTTGTCCTCTCAGGAAATAAAGATTTCATTACATGCAGGGCTAAAAATATCAAATGAGAGCAGTCACTTTCAATTGTTCTATATAATATATTCTAACACAGGAAAGTTATTAGAACAACAACCATCAGCAAGAACCCAGGAATAACAAAAGCAACTAAAATAAAGTGACTACCTCAAAAAATTAGACAACATTCCTCTATTCAGCCAATGAAAGTATTGGTTGCATTTCTGCAGTTATATACTGTATAACTGTCTAATAGACTTCAGTGGAACTCATGAATAAATAACTGTGTGCCTGCTATTAATTTTGAGAAAATGTATACAACTTGATTTAGACAAAATAAGTCTCAAAGCATGTTTAATTAATTAAATGGCTTTATATCCCACCTTTTGTAGAGGAGTTACAAAAGTGTCAAGTGACTCTGGGCAGCTAACACTACATAAAAGCACAATATATAATAAGCATCAATAAATAATACTATAAAAAAACTACAGCAGCAGCCAAGGGCAAAACTCAATCAACAATACAATGAAAACATCTCACAGGCTCCAGCTAACCTCCTAGGAACAAATCCATGTCTTTAGAACTTTCCAAAAAGCCAACAGTCTAATCTCGGGGGTGAGGGGAGGGGTGTTCTAAAGGGCGGGGCAGAAAATACACACTTTCAGGTCCCACTAGTTGTCATTCTTTAATCAATGGGACCTGGAGCACCTCTCCTGTCAGACCTTGTGGGATGGACAGAAACAACATGAGAGAGGCAGTCCCACAAATAACCTGGCCCTATGCCATGAAGGGCTTTATAACAGCCAGCACCTTGAATTCCACTCAGAAGCTCAATGGAAGCCAGGGCAGCCCATGAAGCAGAGGTGTAATATGGGTGTACTGAGGTGAACCCATAACTGCCTACATTGCTATGCTCTGGACCAACTGCACCTTCTGAATGTTCTTCAAGGGCCGCCCCATGTAGAGCACATTGCAGTAATCCACTCAAAAGGCGACTAAAACAAGAGTGACCATAAGCAGTGCTTCCTGGTCCAGTAAAGGGTATAACTGGTATACAAGATGAAGCTGTGCAAAAACCCTTCTGGCTACAGCGGCTACCTGTTCTTCAAACAGGAGCCATGAGTCCAGGAGGACCTCCAAATTGCACACCAATACTGTTTGGAGTAGTACAACCTCATCCAGGACTACCACCAGATTCAAGAGGCCTTAAAACTCAAAGTCACTCAGTCTTGCTAGGATTGAACTGAAGCCTATTCTTCCCCATCCAGACCCCTACAGTCTCCACAGCATCATTTGCTCTGGGGCAGAGATGTAAAGCTAGGTGTCATCAGCATACTGATGATACTTCACTTTGGGCCACTAACTAATCTCAATGGCTTTATGCAGATTTTTTTTTTTAAAAAAAATCCCCTTCCTCTACAGCTTGTTTTTTTAAAAAAATAAGTATCATTTTACTAAAGCCCTTTTTATCATAGTGAAATATATGTTTTGCTCCACCTCTAATGCCATATCTGTGGGCAAAATTAGCCTCTGAAACTATACTTGCAAGACCTCTATGTTTAACTCATAAGCCTACATATCTATTTTTTTTCTTTAAGACAGAGATTAACATATTATGAAAACAAAAAGCGTTACCTCCTTTTCATGTATTCGGAACAATGTTTGTTCATCTCGAGTAGTGCTGTTTTTCGCCAAACCTAACTTGGGTGACATCTATTATAAAAAATAATATTTTATATTTAACACCATGGTTAACGCACAGAAAAACTATGACAAGACAACCAAAAATAGCAGAGCAGTACATACCAATGAAAGGGATACAGGCTTCTCACGTAAATATCTAGGATTTTCGAGCTGAAAAAGATACATTAAAAGAAGTTTAACAAAGATTTTCTGAACTGATAAAGTTTAGATAAGGGATTACTTCCAATATGTTTAGTTTAAAGGGAAAGTGCTAAGTATTTTCTGAAAGATACATCTTAAAAAATCTCATACTAGATTCATGAACCCAATTGCACAGCTTTCAGAATCATAGTCCCTCAAGCAAACCTTCACAAAGTTATGTGAAACCAGGAGGAAAAGTGAGATATAAATGGAATGAAAAAAGCTCACATTTAAAAGATTACATGACAGAGAAACAAAAAAAATGACACTATGGGAATTACTCCTCTTCGCTCTTGAAGCTTAAGGTTATGGTATCCTAAAGAACATCTGAGATTGTTTGGGAGGCTTCTTCCTCCTCCTCCTAATGGAAACAATTTTATCAACAGAAGTATCATCTAAGATTTCACTCAACATATTTTTCAATTATTTTCCTTAAATTTATTTAACTTTTCTCAATGGTAGTAAACATTTTTCTGGCTTTTCCTATCCTTCCACTCACTCTGTTATCCCGACAACATATCTGTGGTTTAAACTGAAAGGCTATGAATGGTTCATGGTGAGTATACCTGCCAGCTCACAGACCTATTCTTTTTACATCTTCTTTAAACAGCCCAACAATTTTTTATTTCAAACACAAATCACACTGTTTCATTTGTAGAGACAGCGCAACTGTGCAAATTAGCACCTTCAGCAAATATCTACAAAACGTTTACCTATTTTACTTTGTTATTTTAAAAATGTATATGCCACTCCAATTAAAGATTCTGGATGATTTCCAATATAAACAAACCAAAATACAATTATTCATAAATAATCAATAAAATCAAACACTAGCATGAATATACAGCAAAAATTCCAGCCAGCAATTTGGATGACACACACACAAGCTATTTTCTCCTTTATATCATTATATCTATGTGTATCTGATGAAATGATCCACAAGAATTCAGTTGATAATAAATTTGATCTTCAAGATGCCTCCAACTCTAATTTTGCTGTAGAAAGCCATTTGGTATATTTTGCATCTGTCATAACCCAAAACTATTTTTGTTCTGCTAAAAAAATTATTAAAAATTAACAAAAGAAAATTAATCTTCAAGGTGCCACAAAACTCTAATTCTGCTGTAGAAAACCAGCCCAACTATTCCTCCAGAACTCACAGCTGTTTTGTTATGTTTTTCTGATTAAAAACCAGCAAAATATATATTTGAAGATCTGCAGTATTATTAAAGGAAAAATAATTTCTATAAAGTAAGCTTTGAAATGGAAAGCAGAATATATTTTGTATTTATCATATCCCAAAACTATTTTTATTGTGCTGAAGAATTATAGATTGAAATGTTTTAACTTGTTGGTGTTCACTGGCTAGGATGCAATAAACCATGGAGTCTAATTTTATGTACCTAGAATCACTCTGGACTTGTCACTTGAATAAATTTTCTCCATTCACTATGCAAGCCAATTTTGAAAGAAGAATCAATTCAAAAGTACCTTATATGACAAAGAAGCTTGGTATTAATTAATGGGGGGAAAGGAGAAAATGTACTTCACAAATCAAATGTTTGGGATATGCCTACATACTCTTTGAATCTTGACCTATAATGTTGTCAGTTTATCTTTCAAGTATCCTCACTTAATAACACTTAAGTTCTGTTTCCTTCTTTTCAAATCCATTTTTAAATTCTAGCTTTAAGTATTTCCTGAGCTGAAATATAGTTCTACAATTAAATCTGTTTAAATTAAAGACGTGAACTTCCTATTTCAAAGAATAAAGTGTCAGCCACTGAGAATCATCACAATAAGTCATAGACACACAAAAATACAGAGAATCCCAAACCACAAATTCAAGACAAAGGAAAACAACCAAAACTAGATTTTATGAAGGAAAGAAAGTCCAGTTTTAAAGTCAAGTTTCGGATACATGGTTCTCAGAACTATTCAGTGTACAGGTTGAGGCCAGGATCAGCTCTAATGAAATACATACATAATGCTAAAATCCTTCAAGAGACATGCAAATATAGGTAGTCCTTGTTTAACAACCACTCATTCAGCAACCATTTGAAGTTACGACAGCACTTAACAAGGAGACTTAGGACTGGTCCTCATAGCTGTGGCCGTTGCAGCATTCCCACAGTCATGTGATCATGATTCAGGCAGTTGGCAACCAGCTCGCAATTACGATGGTTGCAGTATCCCATGGTCACACGATCACCATTTGCAACCTTCACTGCCAGTCTTCAACAAGCAAAGCCAATGGGGAAGCCAGCAGAAAGTCACAAATGGCAATCACATGACATCATACCTAACAACCACAAATGGTTCATTTAACAGCAGCAACCACAACTATTATCGTAAGTCAGCATGGCCACGTGATGTTGCAACCATATCACTTAACAATGGAATTGCCAGTCCCAATTACCATCATTAAGCAAGGACTACCTGTAAAGACCTCCTCCTCATTGATAATTTGAATTTAAGATATTTCTCATTTCCATTTGAGCCAACGAGAACATGCACATTTAAGGCCACTGCTAAACAGATTTTCTTCAGCTGTTATTATTATACATATGCAGGCATACATACCACATATTAATATTTGTTTTCAAATTATAATTCCTAAAAAATAAAACATTCTTCAGAGGAACAATATGAGTTTGCATTGTTAACAATTCCCTACTATCACTCAAATTTACAAACCTTTATCTTATTATATTGTAAGCTTGCAGGAAAGATGGATATTTGTTTTTATTTTTATTTAATTTATTTTAATCATTTTAAAATATTCTTGACCACTTTTGTTCTTTAACAGCAACTAATCTAAATGGGAATTTTGTGAAAATGATTAATATAGAATCAAATGTTCAGGTTTTAACTGCTATATTCCCTAGCCTTAACATAAAAACAAATGTTTTAATATAAAACACTTCATATAAAACCCCAGCCTTAAATATGCAAATAAACCAGAGTCAGCTAGGAATGGAATAGGTTACAAATATATGAAATAAACAAACATGCAGCTATTAATGGAAATGGACAAATATTTTGCATATTTTAGTTGGCATAATATGCAATAAATGAATTTTAAAATAAAGCTGTGAATGAGAAAGGAAAACATCACTTGGTCACAAATAACCAAAATGTGATGAGGTGACTTCTTTCCACAAAGCCCTGCATTTTCTAATTTAGAGGGAGCAGTTAACCTTGCAGTTAAATGCTCCTCATCCATAACATTGTGAACTGCATTCACTAAAATTAATCTGTACTTATGCTCTATCTGAACCTTCATTCATCATTATCAATTGGCCGATGCAATTTCTCATTTCTCAGTTAGCAGAATAAAAAAAAAATACACCCAATTTTCAAAACAGATAACATAATCAAATAAAAAGCATGAAATTCGAGAGAGAGGGAGGGAGGGAGGGGGAGAGAAAGAGATGCACAGGAGGATTTCAATCAAAGGCTTTATAATTTCTTAAATTTCCTGTTAATTAAATAAGTCTATTAGTTAAACAAGCAACATATTATAACTCAATATTGTTAACATCTGCGCATGTAAGTGAAGACATACAATGAGAAAAATTAGGGGAGAACTTTTTAACTTTTTAAAAGTAATAGGATCTAGCGGAGTTACAATTATTTCAACTTACTGTGAACATAAATTTCAGGCAATGGACCCAATGGAGTTCCAGAGAGAGCTTGGGGTTTTCCTTGAGTATCTGCTTGGCAGTTCAGCTGAGGCCCTAGTCGCTGCCTGGAATGGGTAGATGACTGGGGCCTTGGATCGCATCACTCCTATCCCAAGGCTGCACCTTGGTTTACCAAGCAGCTAGTCTGGAGCACCACTGGAAGAAGACTCGAAGCAAGACTCACTGGACATGGGTATGAGCCCATATTAGGGATTACCTTGTAGCAATGAGGGCAACAAAAGTCAATATTTCTCTGCCCTTATTGCACAATCACCATTTGCAACCTTCACTGCAAACACAGTGCAAACACTGTGGCTGTGTTTACAGTGACCCACTGTATTATGCTTATTGTCTCTTCTAATTCTAATCTTCTAATTACGTGCCATCAAGTTATTGTGGACTCTTAGAAATCACATAGATAGATTTTGTCCATGATGATCTGTTCCTAACTGGTCCTTCAGTTCTTCCAATGGCTTCCAATCTTCCACTCATGGCTACTGCAATTGAGTCTATCCATCTTGCTGCTGGTCATCCCTTTCTTTTTTCCCACCTTTCCCAGCATTAGAGCCTGAAATTCTTTGTTCAGTTTTGTCCTTGTCATCTCTCTTGGGTTTGGTTTCTCTTCCTGGACATTACCATTGTCTGTTCTGACATTCAACTTGCTTTCCTCTATTTTTTGGTCTTTGCAGTCTCTTTTCACCTTAACAACTTTTTTTATTTCCTTCTGCAATTCCTCTGGTTCCCTATAAATGAAGTTCAGGACTATAAAGCAATTTCTGATGTTCTCCTTGAAAATGTTGGCTCAAGATCACAGCAGGAAAATTGGTTCTGTTATTTTGCTTTAGCTTGACTTGGAACTTGTAAGTGAGCAGTTTGTGATCTGTTTCACAATCAATACATGGTCATGTCTTTGCTGTTATAACTGAGCGCTTTCAACTCCTTGTACCAAGAACATAATTAATTTAATTTCTGTGTAGTATGTCTGGTGATGTCCACATACATAGGCATTGTTTTAGTTGTGGGAGGACTGTGTTAGCAATGAAGAAATCACTGGATTGGTAAAAATTTGTTCTCCTGCTTCATTTCTGTTTCCTAGGCCATATAGTCCAATAACATTTTCCCCCTTAATATTTGCAGCTCTGGTATTCCAGTCTCCAACCACAAGTAGCACATCTTGCTTGTATGTTCTGCCAATTTCAAATTCAACTTGATCAGAAAACTCATCAACCTCCTCTTCTTCTGCATCAGAGGTTGGAGTATACTTGGATAATCATCATATTAAAAGGCTGTCACAAAATTTAATGGATGTTGTTTGGTCACTGATTGTATCCAAGAGCTAACCTTGCTATATCCTTCCTCACTATGAAAGCAATGCCATTTCTTCTTTATTTTTCATGATCTCAGTAGTAAATAATATGACCTCCTGACTGAAAACATCTAATTCCAGTCCATTTCAAGTTGCCGATGCCTAAGATGTCAATGTGTAGTTGATTCATTTCATCTTCACTATGTTGAGCTTTCTCATGTTCATGCTCCTTATGTTACTTAGTTTCACTGTAATTCTGTCTTTGCAGCTTTGGATTTTCTTTTTCTGTATGGCAACATCAGCAACTAGACATCCCAAAGGCATTAATCTAGCCACATCATAAACACCACTGGTACTCTGAAAGATCCTCAGCTTTTCCTCAGTAGCAGTTTGAGGGCCATCTTTTTTTTTAGCATACACATGTGACATGTAACAGAAATTAATTATAATAGCAACAACACACTATCAGGAAAAATATCATCATAGATAATGTGATAAAGCTTCATTAAATTTTCCCTTGGAATTATTTTTGAAAACATGAATAATCTCTCTTGATATGTTTTTTTTTGCATTTATTTTTACCCTGTGGACAGATTTTATGTTTTATTTATTATTTACATAGTATATATTCTGCTCAATTCTAAATACTCCAGGCAGCTCACATAAAATATTATAAATATCCTAAAACAGTCAATTTAAAACAACAAATATATTTAAAACATAATTAGAAATTAGAAACAACCCACTAGAGCACCTTAGGCACCAGAAACAAAGAATCTTTGCCATCTTCCTAAATTCTAAAAGTGCAAAGGTAATCATGACCTTGGGGAGGTAGACTACTTCAGTGACAGATACTTTGGGGGAAAAAAAAGACTGATTCAGGACTCCCAAACCTTAAAAGTCCCAAAGCATCACTTTGGTGGGTCTTCTGAGACTCATAGCTCCTGCTTGAGGAGCAGGTGGCAGCTGTGGTCAGGAAGGCCTTTGCACAGTTGCATTAGTGCACCAGTTGTGCCCCTTCCTAGATAGAGAATCCCTTCAAACTTTCAAACAATCATTCTTGCCCTGGTCACCTCACAGCTTGATTACTGCAATGCATTCTACAAGGAGCTGTTGTTGAAAACCACCCAAAAGCTTCAATCTGTCCAGAATGAGGCAGCATGAGCAGTGATGGGCATGCTTTGGCACACCCATGTAACACCTCGGCTCCATGAGCTTCATTGGTTGGCAGTTTGCTCCCAGGTATGATTCAATGTGCTAGTCATTAACTCATGGCATAAGGCCCAGCTACCTGAGGGACTGCCTATCTCCCCTAGTATCTGCCCAACCACTTCAGTCCAGGAGGCATGGCAAGCTCTGGGTAAACAATGCCATCTACTGGGATCCTGGAAGCACGCCCTGCCATAGCACTTGCCCTCTGGAATGAGGTTCCCCCAAGATCCAGGTGGCTCCCACTCTATTGACAATTCACAGGACTTTGAAGACCTGGTTCTTTGCCCAGGCCTTTGGCTTGGATGGGTATAGACCGTTTTGAAGAGTGTTTGTGTGTTTTTTGATGCCTGGTTTTCCCAGCCCTGCTTCTTATCGCTGTACTGTTTTTATTGTTTGATATTTTTTATGCTTTTTGTGAACCGCCCAGAGTCATTACGAGTTGTATAGTACATAAATTGAACAAATAAATAGATACATTTCAAGATTTTAGAAACTTATTTAGTCCCCATAATAAACTGTCCGTCAATAGAAAAATCCAAGTAATTTGACCAACAAACTGAAGAGATTGGAGAGACTGAGGCTGAGCCATCTACCAAACCCTTAATTTGACATTAGATAATGCAGCACTTCAGATTTGAAAGCAAAGAGATGCTTTAGAGTTCACAGGGTTGCAAATGTAGAACCTTTCTGAAATTCCTTAAACAGTTGTACCAAATCCTGAAATGACATAACTATCTGACATATCTATTAGATAACTATCTGACAGGAGGAAAAATAGTGATTTTCATTAAAAAAAAATTCCCTCATACAAACATAGCCTCCTAATACCATCAAATGAAACACATGAAAGCAGCAAAAAACCATCATCCTGTATCCTTCCAATCTCATATGATATTATGCACAACTCTCTGCAGTTCCACTGACCTTTTAATTTCCTGTTTCCATCATCTAACAAGTTTTGAAAGAGATCAGATATATTTGATGTGCGAATAGCTACTAGTCATGATGGTTATATACCACCCCCAGAATTAATCACATCTCTGAATACCAGATGGTGAAATACAGAAAGAGATCTGTTGCTGTACATCTTGCCTGTGGATTTACTAGAAGCATTTAGTTAGACACTGTGGAAAATAGAATTTTGGATACTTGAGTACCTTTAAAAATACCAAGATTTATTTCAGTTTCTTTCCAACTCATTTTAAAAGATCATATGCAAAGTTACGATACACATACTGAATGCAGGGACTAAATTATTAACATTTATTTTGAAGTCAAAAAGTGAAGGAAAAAAACAGAACTTACCCCAAGATTCCAACTGTTCAGACGAGCTTCAAGGTCACTATCATCAAAAGAAATTTTTCTTGTACAACAATCTCCCTGGAACATTCAATTTACAGGTACAATGTTTTAGCAGCAAATATGGAAAAACAGAAAAATTAGAAGGAGAAAACATTTTGTTAGAGATTTTATTTCTGGAAACAGTACATGTACATATTGCCTTGCAATTTCTTAATCTAAATAAGGAATTATTTCCACATAACTGGTAGTTGTGGCTGGGGAGGGTTAACTTAGCCTGGGCAGGTCTCTCTGGGGAATCTTTGCATCAGGGAATTGTTTATAAAGGCCCTGAAGGGAATGGGAGAAAGTTCTGGGAATTTAGTTAATTAAGTTGAGGAGAGCTGTATAATTTTCAGAGGTCTTGGTCTTTCCATCCCATTTTATTTATTATGCTAGGACATTTTGATACAGGATAAATAAATTATTCAAAACAGACATCTTCAAATGACTATTGTTAAGAAGAGGCCAAAAAAGCCTGAATACTTTTTACCTTAGTGTTGAAAAATAAAACTATGTACTAGCTGTTTCCCATATTCTTTATTGGGTCCAACTCAGCACTTTTCTTCAAAAAAACTGATGTAGTTTAAGATTCTGCAATATACACGATTTATATGCTTATTTTCTGACATCAATTCTGCCTTTTTTCTGTTTTAACTTCTTGCATGTTACATTCAAGAATTTTCCATGACATTATTAAAATAACTATATAAAACTTAAAGAAAACTAGTTACTGAAAATATGGAAAAACCTTACCCTTGTCTTTGATGGAAAATTCTCATCTTCTGACAAATGAGGAGGACTCATAGAATGTGACTTTAGGGCTAGTTTTCCATTGCAGGTATATTGTTCCCTGCAATAAATACCAACAAACAGAACATACTGAAAATTCTGTTTTCTTAACAGCTCCTTAATACCTGTTTCTTTTTTATGTTTCTACCTTGTCTTTCTACTTCAATGCTATATGCATTTTTAAAAAGCACGGAAGTAAAACAATTAAACCAATCATCATAATAAACCAACAAAAAGGTGAGGCAATATGAAAATAAAAATTGCATCAGTTAGCATTTGATCCTCCTAACCCTTTTGTAAAGCAACTTGCCTATAAAGTTTATAATATTTGCTTCCAAAAACTATATTGCCACTGTAATAGCAAAATCAACCCTCAACAAATCACAAAAGTTATGCATAAAATGAAGAATCTTGAGAGAGCCACTATTACACATCTCAAGGAAAGAAAGAGGGGGAAAGACAGTATACAGTAAATACTTACTAGAGTTTGTAGAAAGTTAAATCATACTTCACCTAGTCCAAACAAAGCTGTCCTGTTTCCATTTCAATTATTATAAAATCTAGGGAGGGATCTAACTTGTTTACCCTGTTGTCTTAAGAAATGCCCTAGAAAACATGGAAGCCTGTATGTTCTTCTTTGATAGAATGTAGAACTTTGAGTTGATCTAACAAAGATCTGCTCTAAGTGAATTTTGAATCATAAGGTAAATCAACATTTCATTTTTCTACCTTTCTTTTTTTTTCAGTTTAACAAAAATCTATGTTGTCCTTTCTTTCTTTTTAATCACATTAGAAATCAATTTTCTACTCTAAAGTTACCAAGTTTGTTCTTTTAGAAAAATGTAGCTACCATTTTTAATGTTTTAATAATCAAGGAAGTTACCCTACCTTAATATTAACTGTTACTCCTGTTTCAAAATAACAAGTCTTGTTTTCATAATCAAGGAAGTTAGAACTATTAAAAAGTGATTTAGATTTTAGAACCACTGTATTTTAATATACTATTTTCAGCTTTCCTATTTTTTTAAAAAACTAACATTTTATAAGGAAGACAGAAGACTGTAAGCAAACTTTCCATATAGTTGAATAATAGATGAAAACAACATGAAATCTGCTTAAAAATTAAACATTCTTAAATTATTAAACATTCTATTTTTCTAATTCTTAAGCACATTATCAAAGTATGTTAGAAGTATGCATAGTACATTACATTTTCATAGGGCACTATTACAATAGTTCTTTATTACAACTATAGGCTTCCCTTGCTTTATGTTAGGGTTACACTGCTTGAAAACCTCACATAAATTGAACCAGAGGAAAAAAGGGGGTCGAGGAGCACGGATGTCAAATTTTGTAACCCAAATGCATTGACTAATGTGCTCATAAATTTTAGAGCCTTATACTTAAGCACTATGTTACTCAAACACGTTTTCTTCCTCGTCTTGTGTCGTCTCACCTTTATTAGCACTTTTTGTAATGTTGCACAGATAGTCCTTACTTACCGACCATTCATTCAGTGACCATTCAAAATTACAACAGTCCTGAAAAAATAACTTTACAGCCCGCTTATGACCTTTGCAGTGTCCCTCAACCACATGATTGCCATTACAATCTGTACGCATTGTCCTGTGCCTGACCTGTGTTTTTTTCTTTCTTTCTCCCCATGCAGAGCAGAGAGATTGGAGAGAGGGATTGCAAGAAAGTAAGCTGTTTGCTCTTCTACACATCGAAAGCAATGTGATTGTGTCAGCAGCCCAGAATTGGGAGCTGCAGGCGTGCTATGCAAACAGCTTACAGTTGTTGTTGTTTAGTCGTTAAGTCGTGTCTGACTCTTCGTGACCCCATGAACCATATT